ATAGAATAGAATAGAATAGAATAGAATAGAATAGAATAGAATAGAATTCTTTATTGGCCAAGTGTGATTGGACACACAAGGAATTTGTCTTGGTGTGTATGCTCTCAGTGTACATAAAAGAAAAGATACATTCGTCAAGAGTCAAGAATCATAAGGTACGACAATTAATAATAGTCATATGAAATCTGTAGTGAATTGCAGAGAATAATAAAGAATAAAGAAACCATTAGAGACCATTTCACTGAGGCACCTGTCGTCGGTGCCATATATCTGATTATAGTGTGAACATCTGTCTTTGTTTTATTAACAAGGTAGGGGAGCATGTGTAGAAAATAGCCTGGAATTTTTCTAATCATTTTACCAGCAGTGATTATAGGAGATACTGTTTATGTATGTATGTATGCATGTATGTATTTATTTATTTATTTAGCATATGGCATATTGTACATGAACTAGCAATATATATTAACAAATCACTTAGATATTGCCTTCAGCTTAGAGCCAGTCACAATGTGATCTAAAGTTTGAGGTGGGACCCCCACAGTCACACTGTAGGGAGGATACTGTGCTCCATTTATACAGAGAGTGTCGGCAGATGCTGTCTGAGGTGTAAATCCTATTCAAGATTGTCCACTGCCAACATGTTAGTTCAAAGCTTGGCACCTTTTTTGTGGATATATATATATATGTCTGGGTGTTCAGTGGTCTGTTTGGCTTTCCATTGGGAGTTGACGTTCAAGTTGTTGGGCAGATGTTGTTCAAGTGCCAGTGGGGACTTCCTGAATTTGAGTCTTCCCATTGTATCTGTAGTTGCTTCTTCCCATTTCCACTTTCTGCTTATCTTGTTTCTGTCACTGTGTGTGTGTGTGTGTGCATGCATCCGTGCATGTCCGTGCATGCGTCCGTGCATGCTTCGAAGCACAGATGCGTTGTCTATGCTCTGCAGTGAGTCACATAATCAGGAGAGAGCAGGCACAGATTGGAGCAGTCAGCAAACTTCTGAGAAATTACTTAACTGCCTCTCTGGTAAGAATTCACTGGGGGTAGAGAGTCTGGAATATTTTGGCTTCTGCTTGGCCACTGTATTATATGAGCACTCTCCTTAATGGACCTTTGACCTGATTCAGCAGAATTCTTACAGGATAGAGGATAGAAGATAGACAAAGATACAAATAAAACTTCTCATTAAATTTTATTAAGCCTGCACTCCTTGTTATGTTGAGCCTAATAGATGGGAACAAAATACATTGAGCATTGTGTATCATTAAAAACAAGCTAAATAAAATGTGCACAGTTTCTCATAGCATAGACAAGTTTATAAACAGACAAGAAATCCTGTTAATTATATGAGCCCTCTGTGTGCCTCCCTCTTCCAATTTATACTTTAAAAACTGTTTAGTGAACAAATCACTACCAAAGTATTGTGAAAAACAAGCTTCAGGTCATATCAATGCACAATGCTGTGCAAAAAATAATAATTTGATGTTTGTAATTTGAATTAACCAAGCATTGTCTATAAAATTGTTTCATGTTACTTTCTTTTTCCTTTATAGGAATTTTTTGTGGCTTTACGTCTTGTAGCCTGTGCACAAAATGGATTGGATGTTTCGCTGAGTAGTCTTAACCTGCCTGTTCCTCCACCTAGATTTGTAAGACACTTAAAAAAATGAATTACGCTACAACAAAAAATTGTTCACTGACTTGCATAGCATACACTCTCAACAGCAGCTTAAAAATTATTGTGTAATTATGTATGTCTGGATTGTGCCTTAATTGTTTAATGATGGAAGATTTTTTCCCCAAATGTTTATTTTAGTAAAAAAAAGAAAATTAAAGTACAAAACTCCAAAAGATTAAAAACAAACAAACAAAAACACATCAGTAAGACACTTAAAAATGCATTGGGAAAAAAAAGAAAAACTAACACCTATAAACATATTATCCCCCCTAGTTGAATATTGATTGATACATTACTACAATATTAATTTATCACCCCTTGCAAAATAGGCTCAAAATATTTTAAACTACTAAATCTATTTGCATATTAATAGCATGTCATCTATATACTATATTAATGACAAAACAGTTATCAGGGAGAACAGTAATTAATACTTTGATAAAACAAAGACAAGGTAAAACTTTCAAAAACCTCACCCCAAAAATTAACGATAATTCATCCTGGATCAACTATCCATGTTTGCTTTTTTAATTCCATCTCTTATCAAACTGCTGTGGCTGAAACTAGTGCTGCTCAGTCCAGGCAAATGACTATATACATTATTCCCTTAGTGTAAATATCTGCTACCCTCTCTCCCCTTTAATCACAGTTTTTTAATTTTTGGATTTACTAATTGTTTTTATATCACTGTTGTATAGTTGTTGTTTTTTTACTTTGTGCTGTCCAAAGTCATGAGATGGCCAGTCATATACCAGTAAGAATGAATGAATGAATGAGTGAGTGAATGAATGAATGAATGAATACATATACGCAGAACATGAGCAGTCTCAAGATTGGAAAATGATGACCAAAGTTGTTTAATCTGAAAGAGTGATTTAAACCCTGCATCAGATAGGGTTTGATTATTATATTTCACAAAGTTTTGAAATTTCAGCAGTTATCTAGTTCCTAAATCTAGGGTTGTATTTCAAGAAGTATAAAGATTTATAATTATGCATGTCCCAAAATGTACACTTCGGACATTGCTTATGTGTATGACTGTTTTTCCATAGAATTCTTTTCTAGTTGCAAAACTGGCATTATTCAGCGAGTCTATGCAATTTCCCTTTTCTGTGAACTCTTGCATTAGTTGATTTCTAGGAACTTTATTTTTTTCTAATGTCAGAAAAAAATGACTAGTTTTCTTATTAGAGGATTTTGTTCACATCAGTTTATCCTTAGAATGTGCTGAGTTATAACATAATTTCTGGTAGTTACCACTTATCTATCAATTTTCTCCACACTCTGTACCAGAACAATTCCAGGATCCTGTCTTCTGCAGAATATAATCATAATTCTGAATTTTCCAGTTCTTGTAGCAATTGAGAAACCACCATTATGTCAAATTACCAAAGTTCATAACTGTAAGATAGTGTCTCATCTTTCTCATGCACATTAAATGAATAAATACTGGTAGGATGGGTTTTTTTTCCTATGCTATAGCATGGTTAATGACAGATGGCATGCGTAGCTCTTTAATAATCTAAAATAATCCTAGCAGCCTATTAAGAAAGACCCAAACACATGCCAGGCATAACTTGGGATGATTGGCTTGCAATGTATATATACAGATCTATATATACAGTTTAGGAGAGGAAGATAATTCATTTAAATCTTTGAATTCTTTTCTTGTGACTGAATGAGGTATTTAAATGTAAGTAGAAATAAATGGTGGCACTAAATGTGAAAAAACAGGTTTATGACAAGAAATTCAGATAACACAAATAGATATTTAAAACGATCTTTTTAATTTTATTTCCTATTAGAATGATTCCACAAGTCCATTATTATGTGGTGGAGCTCCACCTGACATCCCCTGGGCTGTTAAGGTAAATTAATTAATTGCGCTATGGCATATGCTCTCAGTGAATATGCTTAATGGTATCAGATTCTTTCTAGAAAAGATTTTCCACTTTCCTTGTTTCACCCACTTTTCCAGAACAAAAGCCAGTTTGGTATAGTGTTTAAGATGCTGATCTAGAAATCAGAAGAGTGAGTTTTAGTCCTGCGTTAGGCATGAAAGCCAGCTGGATGACTCTGGTCCAGTCAGTCTCTCTCTCAGCTCATCTTCCCCCATAGGATTGATTTTGTTGTGGCGAAAGAAAGAAAGAAAACCAGATATTTTCATTGCCTTGAATTGCTTATAAAGTAATAAAGGTGGGATAAAAACCAAATATATAAAAACAGTCTTACTCTGGCAAACAGGTTTCTTTTTTATGTTTGTGCCTTGCTGTGTTGTGATTTGGCAACTAAGCCATAAAGCCATAACCATTTCACATATATTGGATACCTGGAAATGTGAGGGGTATTTCTTAGTTCTTGAGCATATATGAAAGCATATGACAGATATGAACTGCTATGTAACCCAATCTTAAATATACAGCTTTCTTGAGTAAAAACTAAGTTATGTAACCCCTTAGTTTCTGGCCTTGATTATGACTTCCTGGCCACTATTCCATTGCCACAATAATTTGCTTTCTTGTTCCTATATTCATAGACGCCGTCCATAAATTCCTGGACTACCTTTCTTCCTGTTTATTTCCAACGTAGAGTCCTTATAATTATTGTCCAAGTACTTTAATGGCCCTGTCATTATGGATATCTGCATTCATGTCTCAGTATCTTAGTACATTACATACAATACAATATATTGACATTTTCTTCTCCCAATTTTGTACAGGTAGTCCTTGACTTAGAACAGTTCATTTAGTAACTGTTTGAAGTTACAATGGCACTGAAAACAGTGACTTATAATTGTTTTTCACACTTATGACCATAAAAATTACCTCTAGGCCCCAAAGTATGTCATATCTCTTTAAATACAAACTTGAGGCCTCTTGTCTTTTCTGTGACACAATCTCCTGATAGCAGAATTGCAGTGGATTTTTTGCATATACAACATCCTTTCTTTTTTCTTTTTTTCTTCTGTCAAATGTGACTGAATCTCCCAAAAGCAGTATTTATTTCAATGTATTTGCAAAGCATAATGCTTATTAATAATTCTGACATGAAACTTCGATGTTAAAAGCCACAAAAGAAGGAATCAAAACAGGGATTCAGAAAAACAAGGGAATCTCTGGTATATTCCGGAAGACTGAAGTGTTTAGCTCTTTGAACATGCCTAGTAGTGATGGTGTGTTGATTGATGGGTGGAAAAGAGAAAACTGAAAGCTAAGAGGTAGGAAATGGAATAATTTATTGGAAATGTCACCCCTGCTTTTAGGAGATGGAAGTATGTTATAGCATCACATTGTAGATTCTACTTCTTCCCAAACCTGGCGTCAAATCTGCAATCCTATTACGCTGGAAATAATTAGGAGTGAGGCAATGATTTCTGTGTATTTTACACATTCTTTAGAAATGCACTAATGTATTCATTTATAATTTTAAAAAATCCAAAATAGCTTATTGAGACCATCCCCGCCTTTCAGATGTGGAATGTTGGCCACTGGGGGAAAGAGAAGAACGTCTGACCTATAATCCCAGTTTGAGATTATAATTGGATAGGCATAATTTATGCTGTGGTTTCAGGAAAAAAGAAAAAAAACACATTTGCATTGTGGCTGCTTAATCAGGTTTTTTTTTAGTCTGCAAGCCCAATAAGTGAATATTTTAGGGGAAAATATTTATGTTTTACCTATAGTTTGCTTTAGAAACAATGAAATCTCATAAACAAATAAGGTTTAAAGTATTTGGAATATTTGATGTTCACATTTATATTGTTTCAAAGTAACTCATACCAAAGTTCAAGCAAAATCTCTAAGAACAGGTCATCTTTCTTCCCTTGCTGTCCTATTTTCATTTACTCTAATTCTCTTGAAACTTTGTTTGTCAGACTTAGATTTCCTAAGAAGGGTGACAGTACTTTTTTTTATGAAATGTTCTTTCCGAATGTTTGCATATGCTAACATTGTAAATTAAGGATAGCTTCTTAATGTCTTTATAACCAGATAGAAGACAAGGCCAAGTATGATGCCATCTTTGACAGCCTGAATCCAGTGAATGGATTATTGTCCGGTGATAAAGTGAAACCTGTTCTCTTAAACTCTAAGCTACCAGTTGATGTCTTGGGAAGGGTAAGAACAACAAATAATTTTGCAAACTGTAATATTTCTCTATTGAATTCTGTAGTTAGGATTGAATAATTGTAAAATCATCCTCTCTCTTACACCTATCACACTCATTATTCACAGCCACCTAAAGAGAGTCATTAAAAGGGGATAGCAATAGTACTTAGACTGATATAACACTGCACAGTGCTTTGCAGCCCTCTCTAAACAGTTTACAGTATTAACATTTTGCCCCCCAAAATCTGGTTCCTTATTTTACAGGCTTCGGAAGGGTGGAAGGCCGAGTCAACCTTGAGCTGGCAGTCAGCAGAAGTAGCCTGCAGTACTGCATTCTAACTACTGCGCCACCACAGCTTGGGTTAGAACAGGGGTGTCAAACTTGATTTCATTGAGGGCTGCATCAGGGTTGTGTTTGACAGTGGAGGGGGTGTGTGGCCAGATGGCATGGCCAGCTTGACACCATTTGTGTTGGTGCCTATGGCAGCCGGAGCACTCTGTCAGGCTCCCAAGCTGTTTCTGGCTGCTGTGGCCTCCTACAATCCTCTGCCAGCGAAAAACAGAGCTCGGGAGGGGTTGCACACGACCTTCCCAAGCTCTATTTTTGCTGGCAGAGGCACTATGGCCGGTCCATCACTACTTCCAGGGTGGCCCCCCCAGGCCAGATCTAAGCACCCCACGGGTCGGATTAGGCCCACAGGCCTTGAGTTTGACACCCCTTGGTTAGAAAAATTAGTATCATACTAGCAATTGGGCTCAAGATTGCAGTTTTCTAGTGATCTTGGACAGAGTATGATCCCTTGCTTAACAACCACAGTTAGGATCAGCAGCTTGATCATTAAGGAAGACTTAACATGACGTTGATGGACTTATGACCTCACTTCCTCCACAGTCATTAAATGACTCACCCATGGTTCTTAAGCAAGACATCACGTGACCACAACTTGTGATTTTACTGCTGGTTTCTCCATTGACTGTCTGAAACTGGCTGTGAAGCATGTAAATGGTGATCACATGGCAGTCAGCTGCTGTGACAGTTATGAATGCCTGCAAATTGCATAGTAATGAAATCTTGATCACATGACTAATGGAACAGTTGTAAGTGTGAAGACCATACAATTACTTTTTCAGTGCCGTTGTAACATCAAACAATTGCTGGGTAGTGGTTAAATGAGTGTAGCTGAGTATAAAGAGAAAGTTATTGACAGTTGTTGATTCCTTGCTTTCCCTTTCAGTAGCTGATCTCTAAATCATTTAAGAATTGTTAAGGGCATGCATTAACAGGAGAGTCAGTTTAGGGCAGCAGTTAAGGCATCAGACTAGAAACCAGGAGGCCATGAGTTCCTTAGCCATAAAACCTGTTGTGTGTCTTTGGGCCTTCAGTCTCACACAGCCCTAGGAAGGAGAAATTGGCAAACTACATCTTTAAAAAACTTGCCAAGAAAACTGCAGGGACTTGTCCAGATAGATGCCAGGAGTCAAGATGGACTCAAAGGATTCCTCCCCCAAATGCAAGGATGCTAGCCAGATGAATACCGATGGATGCTGGTAGGCAGAGGCAGAATTATTTTCCCCTTATTTTCCTCCCCAAAAACTAAGCCCGGACACATATTTTCGTAGCGAAGCATAGGTATCGAGCTAGTATTGTACATACATTGCAAGTAAGAATATGGGTGTTGGCTCTCCAGATATAGAATTATAATGTGAACCACCGTGCTGCTGGTCAGGTGAAGTACATTTCGGCAACATGGAGATTCAAATGTGATTTTTTTAAAAAAATAAAACATTCCTTTCTCAATAAGAATGACCTTTTTTAGTACTTTGTTGTACATAAATGGCATGAAAATTGCTCATCTGTATTTAAATGAAAATGAGTTTCTGTAAATTGCATTCAGGAATAGGAGAATAGCACATAGGAAAATAAATTTTCTTCTAAAATATTTTGTAGGGAGAAAAAAAAGAGAGTGTTTTGATGGATGGAAACATTTCTTCCCCTGCTAATTTTCACCTCTTCCTGATTTCAGCTTTAATTGGATGTTGTGATATGGGAAAAAATTCGTGGAACAATATTAAATGTATAGTTTTGTCTTGAAATGAGTAATTTATCTCTAATAATAAATGGTGGAAAGGCCACTAGAACATCAGTTTGAATTTTTGTTAATGACATTAAATAAAATAATAAACATATGATAAAGTTCTGTATTTGTCCTTAAAGCTTAATTTTAACCTTTAACCCCTTAAAAGCTACCTGATTACTGGTGATGAGAATGTGTCACATTGATGTATGTATGATCTTTTAAAAATGTAAAGAAAGCAAATATTATTTGGTAATTGACAGTAATTTGAAAATGTAAAATATTATCTTGACATAGGCTTTTTGTTGGTTAGGTTTGGGAGTTAAGCGATATTGATCATGATGGAATGTTGGATCGGGATGAATTTGCTGTTGTAAGTATGAATTTATACATTACAAATTTTCAAAACAGTGTTTAAAATAGTTAAAGAAGGCATAACATAGTATTTCTTGTTGCATATAGTTTTTGAGGAAGAGCTATTAAGGGATTTTAAAAATGTACGTTCCAACAGTGATGGTTCTTTTAAAAATGAAAATTTTATCTTTTATCTAATATGATATTGTTTTCCCATCACATAAAGTGTTTTAAACATTTCGTTCAGTTGGTTTCTACTTTATTTTCAAAGAGTTATTTGAAGGCTTATTGACACATTGGTCAAAATCTTTTCCCAGAAGGGGCAGATTTACTGTTTAAGGCACGTTCTTCAATATTCATTTTATCTACAAAGCCAGTTTCCTTGTTAACAACATATACCGTATTTGCCGGCGTATAAGACGACTTTTTTGCCCCGAAAAACATGCCTCCAAGTGGGGGGGTCGTCTTATACGCCGGTATATCCACTGCCAGCTTTCGGATGCTTGTTGGACGCAGCGAAGGCGCCTCTGGCTTCCCGGATCCCCTGCGTCGCTTCCGCTTCATCCCGCTCGCCTCGCTCTGCCCGAGGCTGCAGCCTTCCTGCTCTTCCCATGGCCCCTGGCACTCCGCCCTGCCGCTGCAGCCCCGGGGATTTCTGGAGGGCGTTTCCGGTGGTGGTGGGGGGTCGTCTTATACGCCGGCAAATACGGTATAATGTTCTAAGCTACAGAAGGATATAAATGTAAAATTGCAGATATATTGCATATTTAGCCTATATACAATGCTACATATTTTGCCATACCGGATAAGACTTTTAAGTTGTGTTCTAATTGTTTCCAAGGCTCCTTGTGTTTGCAAGGGGGGGGGGGTTATTTCAGGGTTTTCTGCTCTCACATGTTCTGTTTAACATCTACATGAGGCTGCTGATAGTCTATTGGTTTGGGATCTTCAATATGTGGGAATGTACTCAAATAAACATTCTCAACCCCAAGCTGACCTCCCCTGCTCAGAGAATGAGTGACAGCTGTAGTTAAGAAGACTCTTGCATGACTATTTGGTCAAACCATTTATACCCTTATCTGGACTATAAGGCATGTCAGACAGTCACGCATGCTTTATTCACCTCATACTTAAAGACAAGCGTAAGGCATTTTATATGATGTTGCCCTTGAAAACTGCTTGGAAGTTAAAACTGGTCCAGAATGTGGCAGCATGGATAATTATGGGCATGGCTCACCTTGCTCATACAATACTTTTGCTTCATGGGCTGCACTGGTTATCATCAGGGTACAATTCAAGGTGCTGATTAAAATTAAAATTTGACTCTTCCCCCAGCTTTGGGTTGGAATGAATGGCAGGTCCCTGTGTATTTTAGGATTGGTTTTTTATATGCTGCCCACGTAGCCTTATAAATTGAAATAAAAATAAAAAAGTCTTATCTGCCTTGCTTTTTAGATTTTCTATAATTTTAAATATAGTAAATGAGCAGAAGAGTAGTTGAGACAAAAGGAAGTAAAAACATTAAGAGCTTTATTTAGCTCAATTACTACATTAACTATGAGGTTGCATAACAACAAACTAATGTTCAGTCCATGTCTTTGACCACTTTAAAAATGTCTATTCAGGCCATGTTCTTGGTATACTGTGCTCTTGAGAAGGAACCTGTGCCAATGTCCTTGCCTCCAGCGTTGGTACCACCATCTAAAAGAAAAGGTATCAGCATTCCAGGTGTCGGGCAGTCAGTGCCACCTTCAACACCCAACAAAGAATGTAGTCAGTCCATGTTACCTGTCAGCATATTACCATCCACATCATCAGTAACACAGGTACCTTTGACAAAGAGTAGTGTTTTGATCTGTTGAGTTCACAAAGTGTAATTGAAATGTAAAATTTAGTTATTGTTTTACTTTGTAGTGGGTTGTATCACCTACAGACATGATAACATATCATGAAATCTTCCTGCAAACAGACAAGGACATGGATGGCTTTGTCTCTGGTGTGGAAGCTAGAGAATTATTCTTGAAAACTGGCTTGCCTTCAGCTCTACTTGCACACATCTGGTAAGAGTTTTCCCAGCTTGAAAAGAATAAAACAATTTAATTTCTTTAAAATTGATGAAAAATATAGTTATTCTAAATTTAGAATTTATCATTGTTTTTCTACATGCTTGCATTCAGTTGTTATTATATTTTGAAGAATTCAAATAACTAATTTTGATGCTTTTTCTAAAGTGCATCCTAAATTATGATATAAGGTACGTATTTATTGTCACTCTTCTTTGTGCTATTATGAAGAGTTTGGCACTTTACATTCTAAACAGAGAACATTTTTTAAAAAATTGTAAAGATGAAAGACCATATAGAGAATGAACGTATAGCCAAGTCGCATAAAATGCAATATGTTTCCTGATTCAAAATGTACACTATAAATACTTAGCTTAGTTGTATTGGGTTGCTCTATCTTTTCTTTTTCCTTTGAATTTCAAACATTCCCAAACCACAGTCATTCTAAAATGTAATGGCATTTATTAATTAGAGGCTTATTGTGATGTGTGAACTCAGCTATGATGAATAAATGGAATGCAACACGTATGGCTAGATTTCAAAAGTAAAGAGCTTTAAAATAGTAATTTTTAATCTAGACAGCATGTCCATGGTGTGAGAAATTTCATTAGTCATTTCCTTTCTCTAATTGATTTTACAGGGCTCTTTGTGACACAAAGGATTGTGGGAAGCTTTCTGAGGAACAATTTGCTTTGGCCTTCCATTTAATTAATCAGAAGCTGACAAAGGGCATTGATCCTCCTCAGGTGCTAACGACAGATATGATTCCTCCATCAGAGAGAACCGCTTCACAAAATGTGAGATATGTGACATTTCATAAAATGTGTAAAGAATTGAGAGTCTGATTGGGAGTTGTGCTATGTGCTTGAACTTGGTATCTCAAATAATAGTAGATATAGAAATCGATTAACAGGAACACACAAACTACTCATATTGATAAACCTTCCTTCATCTCACTCAGCCAACCAAGCAGATACAAGTTGTTTGTTTAAAATAAAATGAAAACTTGGACACATTATTAGAAAATGGATATTTTTTGACTTTTGCAGGCTTAAAATTGCTTCATTGAGTGCTGTTTATATCTTCCTGTTCATATTTTAGAGCTGATAACAATTCAGTTCAAAGACCAGGTAGATTAAGTGCTAATAAATTACTAGAGTCAATTCCGTATGAAGCAAAGCATTCATGCAAACTTGTTCTCAACATTGCAGTTAATGGAAAATACAAATAAGATATTACTTCTGCTACATATTATGTGAGACGCATTGAATCATAAATTTTTGGTCTCCTTTATGAAATATTCTTATTGAAGAAGTTCTATGATTCCTAAGATGTTTATTTTAACAAGGACATACTGAAATAATTTCAGTATAAACAGGATAATTTTATATGTTGTGTATTTTTTTGGCATTGTTCCATTTAAAATAATATATATCCAATAAAAAACAAAATATTAACATTCTTCTGGTTTGATAATTGAGCTTCTTCTTGGTTGTGCTAAGTCATATTACCCAAATAGATTGAACACCTTGTGAGAAATTACACTCAAAAATTCTTCATTTTGTTTGACTTTTACAATACCAGATTTATTTTTGCTTTATTTTGAAAAAAAAAATTGCTTTTATTTCTTGCTTTACTAATCTTTTTATATGTTTGCTTTCCTCCTATGTCTTTCCTAGTTTGGACTATATTTTCCATTCTGCACCATTCTGCTTTGCATCTTTATTATACTGTCAGTTTCTTAAATCTGCCATCGCAAGGTTAGAGATTCTTCACTTTTCCAATATTGATTGTTTAGTAATGAGCATCTTTTTCATATCACACATTTTCTTTTCAAACAGCAGAATGTCACTTAAATTTCTGAAAGAGCTGTGCTATTCTCACATCACTGTTCTCACTTCAGGATGCTGCATGTGTTTCCAAATCGACAGAATAACGTGCTGTGCACTTGATCTTGATGCCTGCTGACAATAACAACATATTTTATAAATATTTATATTTCTTTCACAGTTGTTTGGGCTTAAATACATGCCCTGAATTTAAGATACATACCTCAGTTGAATATTTACTTTTCATTATCAAACAATAAATGAATTGTGAAGTGTTAATGCAGATGAGTAATAATAGCATGTATATATGAATGCACTAAACCTTTAGCTATAATGAGGCAAAAATTGTACTGTTGATAATTGCAGAAAGGTTTAAACCTGAAATATAAAAAATAAAAATGAATAACCATGTACCTTTAAAAAGGTGATTCTACAAGCAGAAGTCTTTCTGTATTGAGAATTAGGCTTTGTCCCTTTGCTTCTCTATTCTTAAAGGGAGATAAATATCACATATCCTTGTGTCATTGGTGTAATGAACTATGTGTATTAACTAATGCAACTGTGGTTTACTGTTGCAAGTTCAGAAATATGGGCCTCACAAAATTCTCAACTGAGAAAAAACAATTATCAAGGAGAACTCATTGCCAATAAATGAATCAGTATAGATGCTATGGAACACTGTTGAAACATACACATTTATATCTACCAGTATGTAGCAGAATAGACTAGTCCTGGACTGGGTATTTTATGACCCCCCCCCCCCCCAGCCACATCCAGCCCTTTGGCTGTCTCTGTCCGGCCCGCATGAAATTAGATGGAAATTAGAAATTAGAAATCAAATGCTTCATAAGTATGCCGCAGAAGAAGTTAAGTCAAATCCGTCTCTCCACATCACTGTGCGGTCTTTCAGTCAGCCGGCCAGTTGCAGGAGGGCGAGAAGAGAAAGTACTTTTCTGACCAATTCAGCACTCACTCCTCTGGATAAGCCTTAGGAGGCAGTGGTAATCATTGTGTGAAGGGACCTAGGCTTGGCCACCCATTGCCACCTTGGTCAAAGCACATCTTACAGGCACAGCTGGGAACTATTGGTTCTGCCTTCCACAACAGTCCTTGGGAAAATTAATTGCCCACCCCTGGACTAGTTTAGACTAGTCTGTTTGATTCCTATGTTATATAATTTTATCATCTCAAAAATGATGAAATGAAAGGAAACTCAACTTACCCTTTGAAGCTGATTTTCTGTTTGGAGCTTACAGAAAAGTAAGCTTTACATTTAGAGCTTTTTTAAAATTAGGCTGTACAATTTTTTAAATTAGAAGCCAGTTAGATTTTTTCCCCCATCAAGACAATTACAGTATTTATTCTGGAAGCAAGTAGAATCAAGCCATATTTTCTTGTTTATTTTTCAGAATTTACTACGGCAAAATTCTGTAGCAGATTTTTCTGCAATCAAAGAGTTAGATTCGTTAAGCAATGAAATAATTGACCTTCAAAAGTAAGTCAAAGAAATTTAAAATTATAGTGATTTTTGTTTGTTTTATTATTTAGCTTTATAAGAACTGCTCCAGGGAGCATATGTTGGGGAAAAGCCATTTTTTTAAAGACTGTCTGAAAATGTGTAATTTTGATGCAGTCCAAAATTCTGGGCAAAGTGGGTTATTTCAAAGAGGTGGCACCATGCAGAGAGGACATGAAATATGCCTGCTCTGTCAGATCCTCCAGGATAGACAAAAGGAGATGTGATCCCTCAGATAGCCAGGCCCTATGCCATGAACATAGGTGATAACTGGTGATATTATAGGTGATAACTGGTATCTTTAATTGCAACCAGAAACCTATTGGTAACCAGTGCAGCTCATGCAACAGAGGTGTTACATGTATGAATTGAATTTTGCCCATAACTGTTCACATGATGGCATTTTGGACCATCTTCACCTTCCAAATGATCTTCAAGGAGAGTCTCAAATAGAGCACATTGCAATAGTCACACCTGAAGTAACCAAGATATGTGTGACTGTAAGAGAATTCCAGTCTCTGAAATGGCTCATTTGGCACACCAGATGAATCTGCAAAGGTCCTCTTGACATAGTTGCCATGAGTTTCAGCTTGTTCTTCCCTGTCCAAACTCAAACAGTCTTCAGGCACTGAATTACTTGATTGGCTAAGGCTCAAAACATACAGCTGAGTATTACTTACTGTTGGTACCTGACCCATTGTCAGCAGATGATCTTACTAGACACTTTCATGCAGATGTTAAATGTTTATCTTACTACGGTATCTGATTCTGAAATGTACAACAAAAGCTTTTGTACAGCAACTGTGTTGATTCATTAGCTTTGTTTAAATTCCTGAACTCTGTCTTTTTTAAAAGTATTTGGATTATCTGGAACAATTCGTACTTCTTGGCACCATATTCAAATTAAGCATTTCTTCTGTGGATTATTTGATCCAAATGCTCTTGCTACTTGAACTTCCAATGCCATTAGACTTTTCTGCAGCCTTTGGCTCCTAAACCAGTAATCCTGCTTTGAAGGATGTTGATAAAATTGATACTACTTATTTATGTGTCCTTTGAAATAATGAATGGGAATATCTTGTCCAGATAAACAAATGGAACATTGCAGTAAACAAAATGAAATTAGTTTCTGCAACTTTAGAATGAGGTTTAGGTAACAACAACAACAATGAAATGCTTTGTGTGTATTTGAAGCCTCAGATTGTTCAAAAAAAATAGTTAAAATTACCCTGTTCTTAAAGTTATACAGTGCATTATTTAGACCCCATTCACTTGTTGATGCTGCAACCTGATTCTAGAGTTGTTGAAATTCATTTTTGTTAATCTACACCCAATATCCCATAAAGTGAAAACAAACTTTTAGAAATGTCTTTAATAAATTTACAGACATTTTCATTTTGTCATTATGGGGTGCTGAGTTTTTTTTTAATAAAGAAAAAACCCGAAATGTTACATTGGCATAAGTATCTAGACCCTTCATTTAGTGCTTTGATGAAGCACCTTTAGCAGCAATTACAGCCTCAAGTCTTTTTGGGTATGAGGTGACAAGCTTTGCACACTTGGATTGGGGGATTTTCTGTCATTTTTCCTTGCACATCCTCTCAAACTCAGTCAGGTTGTATGGTGACTGTCAATAGACAGCCATTTTCAGGTTCTTCCAGAGATGGTCAATAGAGTTCAAGTCAGGGCTCTGGCTGGGCCACTCTAGGACATTCACAGGATTGTCCCTAAGCCACTCCTATGTCTTGGCTGTCTGCTTAGGATAATTGTCATGTTGGAAAGTGAAGCTTCTGCCCAGTCTAAGATCCTGAGTTCTACGAAACAGGTTTTCACTGAGGATATCCCTGTACTTTGTTAATTCAGCTTTCTCTCAGCCTTGACCAGTCTCCCAGTTCCTGTAAAACACTCCCACAGCATGATGCTGCCACTAACATGCTTCACTGTTGGGATAATATTGGGCAGTTGATGGGCAGTGCCCTGTTTCCTCCAGACATTGCATTTAGAATTGAGGCCAAACAGTTCAATCTTGGTTTCATCAGCTCAGAAAATCTTGTTCCTCACAGTCTGAGAGTCCTTCAGTTGCAAACTCCAATCGGGTTTTCATGCGTTTTATAGGCTTCCATCTAGCCACGCTGTCATAAAGCCCAGATTGATGGAGGGCTGCATTGATGGTTGTCCTTCTGGAACTCTGTCCCATCTCCACACATGATCTCTGGAGCTTAGTCAGATTGAGCATCGGGTTCTTGGTCATATCTCTTCCTAAGGCCCTTCTCCCCCGATCGCTCAGTTTGACTCGGCGACCAGCTCTTGGAAGGGTCCTGGTTGTGCCAAACCTCTTCCATTTGAGAATTATAGAGAGCACTGTGCTCTTAGGAACCTTCAGTGCAGCAGACATTTTATTGTAGCCTTCCCCAGATCTGTGCCTTGCAATAATCCTATCTCTGACCTATGCAGGCAGTTCCTTTGACCTCTGTTTTTGCTCTGCTATAGTATGCATTGTCAACTGTGCGGCCTTCTATAGAGAGCTGTGTTTCTTTCCAAATCACGTCCAATCAATTTAATTTACCACAGGTGAACTCCAATCAAGGTGTAGGAACATGTCAGCAATGATCATGAGAAATGGGAGGCACCTGAGCTAAATTTCAAGTAGTGTTGCAAAGAGCCTGAAAACTTATGCCAATGTGATATTTCAGTTTTCTTCTCTTTTTAATAAATTTACAGACTTTTCTAAAAGTCTGTTTTCACTTTGTCATTATGGGGTACTGAGGGTAGATTAATGAGTAAAAAATGAATTTCAACAACTGTAGAATCAAGCTACAGCATAACAAAATTGACCAAAGTGAAGGGGATCTGAATTCTGTGAATGTACTGTATTTTAGGAATTAGAGGATTAATCCATACAATCTGATCTGGGCTTGCTGTTGCATTTTGGGCTGGCAGCATTTGCTTACATAACTCTGGATTATTTATATATTAAAACAATGCATGTTCTTAGCTGTGTCCCCCATATTTGGAATCTATTCAACAATGTTAATTTTTCTAGCATGAATTGGCTAAATGAATTATTATAGAACATCAGAAAAGTCTGTCTGATTTGCAACACTGGACTATTGACTGGTGTGTGTGTGTGTTACTTGAATATTTCTCGGTTTTCAGAAAATGGTAAGGATAAGGATTTGAACAATTGAAAAAAGAGTTTACTCTGCTGGATTTTAAAGGTCCATTAAAACTTTTTTTTTTCAGCAGGCCTTAGGGGCAAAACTACAATGGAAGGTTTCCTCATATAATTTAGCATTTTGTTAAAAATGGATTTATTTTGTCACTTAAGTGATCATTTGCCTCTAATATATTCCTGTGTCATTGGTGCCCTATATAGATGCCTGCTTGCTTCTATTTAGCTAAGCAACTGAGATGACCTTCATGCCTTGGGTGACCTTGGTGAGAGTATACACTCTTAGTGTGTACTCCCAACATTAATTTGCTCATCCCTTCAGTGAATACACTATCACCACAATGGGACAGCAAGGCACAATTTGGAGAGGATTCCCTGTAGTACTAAATCAAAATGTATTTTTACCGTGACTCGTTGGTTTTGTAGTGTTTTATAACCACTTCTTCTGATAGATTAATGTTTTCCCAAATACTTCGGGGACAGTAATTTGTTTTTTTTTTAAAAGTATGGATTTTTTAAATGATGTGTTTGATTCTGTGTGCATTATTTTCTATTGGGGAAGTCAGTGGAGGAGAGAAAGATTGTGGGAAGCTATTATTTCACCCATTTAATTGACTTTTTGTTTCAGGTACATATACTTGTGAAATTTGTATGAAGAAATTCATGCAGCTTTTTAGGCGACATCTTAGGACACATTTCCTTTCTTCAGGCACTAGGATATTACTTGAACTGCATTACTTGGTTGACTAGGGGAAAGAGTGATTGGCCCAATGTCATCTGTTTGGCTTCTGTGCCTAAGGCAGGATTAGAACTCTGGTTTTCTTACTCCTAGTTCAGGGGTCCCCAACCACCGGTCCGTGGAACAAGTCCTACCGGGCCGCTGGTTTGCTGGGCACCGCCATCTTTTTTTGATGAAAAAGTGCTTCCGGTGAGCTTTTCCGGGTAGAAAGCTCACCGGAAGCACTTTTTCATCAAAAAAAGATGGCGGCGCCCAGCTAATGCCGGTACCGGGCCGCGCCATAAAAAAGGTTGGGGATCACTGTCCTAGTTAATTGCCAACTACTAAGCCAAACTGGCATTATTATTGTACATTAACTCTGATTTTAAACTGATACATCAATCCCAATAAATTTGGTTAGCAGTTTATTAATATAATGATTAAAACGTAAATAATTAAAAGGTAAGTTAAAACCAGCCTTTCAAGTTGCTGCATTAACTGTGGTATGTCGGTAACAAAGCAGGCATAATTATGCTTATTGCCTTCAAAAACCAACTTAAAATTAAAATATTTTTTGAAGTACTACTTTCCTTGGTTGTTAATAGTAAGTTGGCATCTTTTACATTGAAGCAGGTTTGTTTATGTATGATTGTGTTCTGTGTTCATTTATTAATCTTTCTTTAACCAAAGCAAAAAAAATGTTGATTTTGCAGATTGAATGACACAATGAAAGCATTATAGTGGAATTCAATAATAATATGGATTTATATATCATTTCCTGCTGTTTCACTATCTAGATGTAGGCTAAGTTCACATATTTTTCAAAACCACAATATGGCTTGTTAGTTTTGGCTTATAGTGATATACGCCACCAAATACATATTGTGGCTTAGTGTTATAGGTAACTGCAAATCCTGATATAGAAGAGTTTGGCCTTAACAGTATAGCTTTTAATATAATTTTTCAGCAACATGGAAAATAATGGTAGCAGGTATAGGACAAGACATGCGGAGTGTATGATCAGGGGATTCATTAGGTAACACTAGAAATAGTGTGTGTATATGATAAATATAATGCCTAAATGGATGTATGAATAATCTAGCTAAATCCAAAGATACTCTTTATTTGAGAGACATCTTTTAGCTCTTGGAAAAGGATACATTCAGCTAAAGCAAGAACATGTTCTCCTGTTTGATTTACTGTTAATGAACAGAAAAAAGCCACTCTGGAATTAATGTAGTATAGCTTTATGAAACATTTATAAATGAATGTACAAAGAGGATTGTGAAATTAAACTGTTACATTTCTGGTTTTTCCCATTCATTCCATGACTGAAAACCTGATGAAAGCTGCAGTATCATAAGGCATGGGGAAAATATAGACATGTAGCTTATCTTTAAGATGTTAGGTTTCAAGTAATACAAACCTTAGTATTTTAAAGTGTGAAAGAAGATCTAGCAAATAGGTTTCTATCTTGCATACAATATATGCAATTCTAGTTCCAGAAGGGTTAAGTATATGAGAGCTGATGCAGTCCCTCCCTCCTTTTGCCAGACAGTTGTTCCATAGCAACAGTGAGATCACTGAAGACAGTATTTCATTGATTTTTTTTCCCCTTTCCCCTTTGCTTTCTCTTTAAGCTGTCATTTCCACCTATCCATGACTGGGAGAGTAGACATCTTTTATATTTTAATATTTGGCCTACGTAGGACATTCCTTTTGGCTTTTCTTCCTAAAGCAACACAATCAGTCTTATAAAAATTACATGTTTAACTATGCATTTAAAAAGAGAGACTGGTTTAGGAGGTTGGATAACTGTGCCTGGCGTAACGGATGTTCTTAAATATTCCTGCCTTATTTGTTGGTCTTCTAGGGAAAAGAACAATGTGGAGCAAGACCTGAAGGAAAAAGGAGAGACAATCAAGCAGAGGACAAGCGAGGTCCAGGTAATTGTCATTTGAATTTTCAGATTTGGTTGATATAAATAGAGCTTACTGGAAAAAATATCTTTCAATGAATGATTTTGCCTTTTAGCATGTATGTTATTAGGATTTGTTTCCATCAAGATATTTGTTAGCTTAGGGATTGAAATTGACATGATTAATTACATGAATGTCTATATTATTTGGGAAATAGGCTGAGGGGGGAAATGCAGCATTTTTGTTAGATGCCAATTTTGGCAGTAATGTTATAATGCAAGCACTGTGGCTATGAATAACAGCTTCAGGTTTTTGATATGAACAAGGATTTGCATCTAGATGCATTCCTTAAAGCTGAAAATCTCTCTCAGTGCTTAAATGTAAATCCATTATTACATTATTAAAGGCTGCATAATAGTTCTTTTGGATGGAGCCTTTTTAATTTATTCTTAACCAATATTTTGTTGCTTTTGCATGACCATTTGCTGGTCATGCAAAATCAAGCAGCAACTTACATAAAGATATTTAGTTAGTTAACAGTTTTGCTACAGGTGTTGGTATATCTTAAGATTTCATATAATACTAGTAAAATAATTCCCATGTATGACTTTTATTAATATTTCTCCTATGATACCAATGAAGGAACTACAGGGCTCAGAATTTATTTGACTCTGGAAATTTCTATATCTATCTATCTATCTATCTATCTATCTATCTATCTATCTATCTATCTATCTATCTATCTATTTCCAACATTGTCGATAGTGTTCCATTATAATGGAAAATGAATTTTAAAATTTAGAAGAAAGGCTTTAAAAGAAGAGAGTGTTACTAATGAAACAAATGAATAGTTTCTCTTGAATGCTCTTCTCTCATATAGATTGATGAACAGTTTGTTTCTGTACAATTATTTATGTAATTAGATTAATATTACATTAAGATTGCAAGAATATTACGTTTTTGCAGTCTTTCCAAGAAATATAATCGAGGCAACATAAGGAACTTGCTTGATATACTTTTCTAGGAAACGTTAACACTTTACAAAATATGATTTTTAAAAATTTATTATAGATACATTTTCTGTCATATCTTTGTACCCAAGAGCTTTAGCTAGGAGAGTAATGTTCAGCATCCTCACTATAAAGTAGGAATGTTTACAAAATGGGAACATAGTAGAACCCAATTATTGTACCAGAATAATCAAGTTAGTTATCATTTAAGATAATTTTAATAAAAATGGCTGGTTTTTATTCTGATTTCAGAACAGCCCACTCTGAAGTCGAAATGGCCGGTATTTTTCCTGTGACTAGAAAGCCTTGATCTGCTATGACATTAGAACCAAACATTTTAATAATAATAATAATAATAATAATAATAATAATAATAATAATAATAATAATAATATAACAAAATAAATTCTCATAAGTCTTGCTTCCAATTAAAAACATTTCACATTAAGATTGAAACCACAGGTTTAATCAAATTTAATTCTATTAGTGATATTGAAAGCTTTGCTCAAAAAACTATCTAAATTGTGTGAAGCTTTTTGTTATTGATAAATCTTGAAATATATTGTACTTCATTGATAGATGTTTGTATCCTGCAGTGTCTTAGCAATGTGTGTTTGGATACAGGTTGCAGGTAGCACTGGATGAATTTGAGTGATGCCCAGCAATAGCCGACAGACATCAATTAGGGAGACATTTTATTGTCTACATTAAGTTCTCCATCTGTCATTTCCACCCACTAAATCATTACTAAGAGAAACATTTTCTCAGTAATTTTGATTAAGTATTGTTTTTCTTCAGGTTGTCCATCTCATTTTCTTTCTCATACCTTTCCAACCTCTATTTTGATTTACTTTTGTCCTTTTCTGTGTGTATCCTATAAATTTCATATGGCTTTATGCTGAGACTATTTTCTTTTTTTCCCCAATTTTTCAAATATACACCTACCTGTTCATATTGTCTCCCCTCCATCTTACATCAGAAAGTTAAAATCATTACAACATCATATGGTGGATGTTTTAAGAAGAAATGCAGGCCTGTATTTTTCTACTTTTCAGGATCTTCAAGATGAAGTAAGGAGGGAGAGCAATAACTTGAAGAACCTTTTGACTCAGAAGCAGGAGGCAGAAGAAATCCTGAATGGTCTAGATGAAGAGAAAGCCAAGTTAGAAGATCAGCTTAGTATGATACGGCAGAAATGTACAGAAGAAGTTGATCTAGTGAGTACTTTTACCTCAGCTGTAGAAAGCTGCATTGTTTCATTGGGACTGTTGTATACATGATGTATATACTTAGGGATTCCTTGTTTAAAGAGATTGCCGTGGAAATGTATTAAAAATGAATAACCTCTCCACATCATTGTTGATTTGATTGCTGTTGGACTATTGTTAGTACTCTGTTGTGTTACAGGGTTTAGAGCTGTAAGCATTTTAATTGATTTATTTATTGTGGAAGTTTTAATTAATTGTATTTGTATTGTCATTTCTTCGCCCTTTTATTAATTAAACAAAGAACAAAATGAATCAGAGAAAAAGAAGAAAATAGCAACAGCATAACCACCAGATTCAGTAAGGAAAGAGTAATTGTAGCCCCACATTTTTGGGACAGGAGTGGGCTTAGGCTAGAAGGTGCTTCTCTTCCGTGGCAGTGGCGATGCTCTGGAACAGCTTTCTAAAAAAGGTCTTTGCCTCCTCCCTTCTGGCTTTCAGGAAACTACTAAAAATGGAGTTATTCCAGAGGGCATTCTCTTAATTTAAGCATTACATCACCTTTATGTGATGGTTTCAATAAAGACTACTATATTTCATTGAAAACTTTAATGCATAATCTCTCTAAGCATCCATAAATAAATAAAATAATTGTTATTAAATAAACAGAGGGAGAAACAGCTGAGACAGGAAACTCTGGGGATTTTTTTCCAGATTATGCAAAGAGCAGGAAACTCAAGTCCACTCTAACTTATATTTTAAATTTGAGAATAAACAAACATGAAATATGCAAGTGGAAGGAGAAAGTCTTTGTCATACTTTCAGTTCCCCAAATCATGATTTTGCATTTCAGGACTATTTTATCTGGGCCATCTGGTAGAATGACACAGCAAGAATAATATTTATGCAATACAGCTTTTCTTGAATATGCCATGAAAGCACATCTCATAATTCAACCATTAGAATGTTACAGTGGAATATTTTTTTTTTATTAATTTATTTCTATCCCGCCTTTATTATTTTTACAAATAACTCAAGGCAGCGAACATATCCAACATACCTCCCTCGTCCTATTTTCCCTACAACAACCACTCTGTGAAGTGAGTTGAGCTGAGAGAGAATGACTAACCCAAGAATTCACAGTCTCCTGCTTTCTAGTCTGGTGCCTTAACCACTAACCAAACTGGCTCTGATATGCTTCTGGTTTGGTTAGCTCGTTCTTGGTAAAAATGTTGAAGGAAAAAACTGCTAGCTAGTTTTATATTCACCTCTCACATTATAGATTATATCTCTAGCTAGTTTTATATTCACCTTTAACTTTATAGATTACATCTCTAAAAAAAGAAATAGCAGAGCAAGAATCAAAAATCTCTGGATATAAGGATGATTTAAGTAAAGCCCAAGAAGAGCTCAGCAGGCTACAGCAAGAAGCTTCAGAGTTAGAGAAAAATGTGGAGGAAGGAAAATTGCAATTAGTACCTCTCCAGCAGGATCTTCAAGAATCCCAACAAGAAATAACTTCAGTAAGTCCCTCTGAAATTATTCTTTTCCATCAAACTTCCATTGTTGGATTCCCTTGGTTACAAATGCTATTCTATCATTCTACATTTAACTAAGAAATAAACCTGAATTCAGTCGTTAAAGCTGAATTCCTCCTGTTCTGGCTTTGTGTGTCATTCATAATAGAACATTTTTTATAGAGTAAATACTCAATTTCATGGACTATAATTCAGATGAGTGAGAGGCATTACCCTGAGATAGGGAAATATATATGCATTTATGTTACTGTTTTATATATTTAAAGATTTATATGTCATCCATCACTATTTTAGAGTTTGTGTTTTGCAATTATATAACAATGATGTGAATAATTTAAACATTGTAGGCAAGCATGTTAATGGCCTGTAAATTCATAGTATTGTTCCTTTTGCTGGATTTTTTTCTTAATCAGATAAATGTTGCCAGTTATTAACCAATCAAAGATGTTGTCTTTAAACAATATGTCATTAACCTGTTTAGATGTAATCGGATATAAGCTACTCAGATATTTGAGCCAAAAGTCACGCAATCAATCATTTCCAGGTCTAGTTTTCAATCCTTTTTATTCAATTTTTAATCATTTCTGTCTTTATTATCAATTCTTCCATTTGATTTTTAAATTCATATTCAAATATTTTTATCCATTTAGCATTTTTATCTTTTTGAGTTTCCCATAATCTTTTCAAAACTGGATTGTTTCCTTTTTGCTTGGTTTTCAATTTTTTAGAATTTCTATTGCTATTTATCTCTCTATATAAAAGCGAAATACCACTCACATATCATCACAGAACCGTAAAGCCTACAAACTTGAAATTTGGCACGTATGTTCTTCTTGGCTTCTAGGTGCTCATTAAGAAAGGATTTTTGGAAATGACCATCACAACATTAGTATTTCCTATATTATTATTAACAGCTCTGATGCTAAGGAGTTCTACTCCCCCTCCCCACCTGAAAAAATATCTGTTCCAAATGCAAAACACAAGCAGAGAAGAGGAGTTTCAGTTTCAGTTTTAGTTTCACAGGACCAAGCAGGGTTAGTACAGAACAATTGAGCTAAGCTGCGCCCAGGCTGCTTGCTCTTTGCTCACACAGCAAATACTCTTTCAGTTTCCAAACAGCCCTCAACTCTCTCACACACTGACAAGACGCTAGCCAGGTGAATACCAATGGATGTTGGTAGGCAGAGGCAGAATTCCCCCCCCCCCATTACCCCCCCCCCCCCAAAAAAAAAAAACTAAGACCAACCACATAGTTTCGTAGCGAAGCACAGGTATCGAGCAAGTTCTTTGATAGAATCTTTGTTTGTTTGTTTATTAGGTGCAAGAAAAATTGCTGGAGCTCAAACAGTTGGAAAACAGCCAGTTTAACTGGGAAGTCCAACCACATGGCATATTGATTAATGGGAATGCAGATCACTCTAGCCTCAGCAACAGCAGCAGTGAAACTGTTAACCTAAATGAGAATGCTGAAAGTGAGAATCCAGCAGATTCAGAACAAGTAAATTATGAAACTCCTGTGAGTGGTGCCTGGATTATTTTTTTAAAAAAAATCTGATCAATTTGTGTGGTGAAGCTTGAGTTTCAATATGATAAATAAAAATATACCAAGTTTTGTTCTAGAACAAGTCCAAAGTATATATGTAAATTGATGAATTAATTAAAGTATTTTTGGATAACCTATTACTAACTACATAGTTCAGAGATTTCAGAGAAGGTTGAATGTGTTGTTATACAGGGTTTTTTGGGGGGAGTTGCCCTAACAGCATAATAAGTGTCCAGCATAATATTAGAGAAACAGTGTAAGAGCCATAGATTTTCTTCTTCCAAAAGAAAAATGTGAATGACCTCAATTATTTTCAAGGTTTTCACATTTCTTTTTAGATTATAGATTTTATTGAACAGGTAACAAGAGTTTTATATTGCCGCTTTAGATGTAACTCTGTATCCTTTTACATAGTGTAGCCACATTTAATTATATAAAAGTTATATAAAATTCTTCTTTATAAAGTTTGCCTCTTAATATGATTAAAAGAGTTTGTATTAATATTATTAATACTAAAAATTATATGTTAGAGTTGTAGCCATTGTGAAGAATATTATTTGGGAATGACATGCTACAGATTTGTCGAGCCAATTTTTCTTAAGTAATAGTCACTAGAAAAAAGTTATACCCAAACTGTAGATTGTTGTTGGCAGAACTTATATGTCTAATTTTTATTTATTTATTTTTGCCCTGAAAGGCTAGAAATAGTCCTGAAACAACACATGTAGCTACAGAAGAGGAAAAAGAAGAACTGGAACTACCATCGGATGTTACCAAAAAAGTGCGTTTAAACAGCATTTTAATATACAACTACATTTTGTAGGTTGATATAATATCATTGTGAAGTCATGTAAGAGAAGCTTCTTAAATATATGGAAGAACCTATACAGGTAGTCCTCGACTTATGACCACAAAATTTCTCTTGCTAAGTGAGACAGTTGTTAAGTTAATTTTGCACCATTTTACAACCGTTCTTGTCACAGTTGTAAAGTGAATCACTGTAGCAGTTAAGTTACAACACAATTGTTAAATGAATCCTGGTTCCCCATTGACTTTGCTTGTCAAAAGGTCACAAAAAGCGATCACATGATCCTGAGACACTGTAACCATCATAAATATGAATCAGTTGCAAAACTTTGCAATTTTGATCAAGTGACCATGGGGATGTTGCAATGGTTGTAAGTGTGAAAAACAGTTACAAATCACTTTTCAGTGACATTGAACTGTAATTAAATGAACTATTGTAAGTCGCAGACTACCTATACAAGGAGTAGGTTTTTTTTCCCATTATCCCATACTATACTATGCTCTTCTGAAGTATCCTCCATTTGAGACCGTGTGAATAAGTCAGACTAAAATAATTTGTGTACTAATGCGAAAACTGGGAGGATCCATAAACAGAAACCCACTCACTAATACACAGGATCTGAGTTCATTTATTTTGATGTAATTTCCCTAAGGTTAATTACAAATGTCTCAAGATTCTTTTTTTTTTTTACTGATTTAATTAGTTTGGGGAAAGAATTTCTATCTTTAGTTAGACTTAAGAGAAAGAGGTGACTTGTATAATAGGATGAATGACAATATATTACTGTATTTTAAACAATTTTCTTCTAGGAGGATCTAGTAAATGAAGACTCCCATCAACCCTCTGATCAGACAACAGAAGCCAACTTGGACTTTTTTGAGTCTGATCCCTTCGTTGGTAGTAAGTATGTTCATTTTTCTTTCACTAACAATTTACAAAGGAGTCATAATGATACTTCAATTGACCTTTGAACCAAATATCTGGTGAGTCAGCTTAATTTCACTGGATGCCTTTAGACAACCTTTTGATTAGAGTAGATTTCTGCAAGGCGATTGAACTAAATCAATTTATACAAGATGTTGTTGGATATTAAGTATAGGTAGTCCTCAATTTGTGACCGTTATTCACAGTTACAACCTTTGCAGCATCCCTATGATCATGTCATCAAAATTCAGATGCTTGGAAACTGGTTCTTACTTATGACCGTTGCAGCGTCCCACGATCATGGGATCACCTTTTGCAACCTTCTGATAAGCAAAGTCAATGGGGAAGCCAGATTCACTTAACAACCAGGTTGCTAACTTATCAACTGCAGTGATTCACTTAACAGCTGTGGCAAGAAATGTCATAAAATGGGGCAAAACTCACTTAACAAATGTCTCACTTAACAACATAAATTTTGGGCTCAATTGTGGCCGTAAGTCGAAAACTACCTATAGATAGTATTGTCCCCAGTTAAAGTTTCCTTGTTTGAAAGCTTTGACTTTAAAAAATACAGTGCTAAATAAAGGATAAATAACTAAAGATCTATCTATTGTTGCTCAATTGATGTCAGCTCCACTAGATAACCATCCTAGACCAATGGAAAATCATTATCAGAGTCACTTTGGATAATGAAATGGGCAGCATGTAAAACTCCACAGGAAAGCTAAAACAGATTTTGAGACCAACTACAATAAGATAACTTGCAAGTCTGATTATGCTATACCTCCTTCTCCTCCTTTATAGTTGTGAACTTATTTTTCTGATTTCAATTCTGAATATTATCTGGCTGTTTTAGATTGAAAATATATTTTACCCCTTGTACCATTGGCAAAAGCGTTTCATATCTCTGACAAGGTCATCTTCCTTAGTTGACTTAGTTCCTCATCTCTATAGTTAAGCTACATTTGTCTCTCTTTCTTTTGGTGGACAATAAGACTTCCAATGGGCAAAATTCCAAATAGTTATCAATGGATATTAGTGAAGTTTTTTTAAAGGTATTGCTGTATTTAGGGGAGCCTTTTCTGCTCTTTGGCAAGCTTCATGACCCTATTCCTCAAGCAGTTTCAGGCACAGAATGAGATAAATACAAACCTTTATCTGTAGCCTGATATTCTGAACAAAACTGAAAAAGATTTTTATGGACAGTGTTTTACTTTTTAAATAGATGATCCTTTCAAGGATGATCCATTTGGCAAGATTGGTGAGTATTTGTTTTCTTTCCTTTTAATTCTTTTAAAAGCAAATTTTTCAAGACACGAATCCATAATTAAAGAACGTTAAGAACTGCATAACGGGGTGGGATTCTTTATTTGTAAAAATCCTCCAGATATTCTGGTTTCAGTTAATATATCAGCAAGCTAGAATGATGGGACTTGTAAATCAAACATTTGGTGGGGGGGAAGAGAAATTGGAAAAGACTCGTGTACATTTAAACATTGAGTATGTTGAAGTAGCCTTTACTTTGGGGAGCAATATACAACATGGAACATTAATTAATGTTCTAATTGATAGAGAATACATAAACTAGCAATATAATATTAAAGTTGGGCACATTTTATGTTTTTTTGTGATAAATATTTACAATAGCAAACACCTAAGCACACCTTCTAGTAACTTTGTCTTCACTTCGCTGTTTTTAAGATCCTTTTGGTAGTGATCCATTTAAAGGTTCAGATCCTTTTGCTGCTGACAACTTTTTTAAGCAGCCGTCTTCAGATCCCTTTGGGAATATCGATCCCTTCAGTGCAACTAACAACAACAATTCCACAGTAAGTCTGAGAGAAGAGATTAGCATTATGTGTATGGCAGATTTTGGTATGAAATGTCTCCATTAGGTTTCATATAAATAAACTTTGCTTGTTCCTTGTCCTCTATGGACAGATATATTTCACAGACATTGGACATTTGACCTTTTATTTGCACAGCTGCTTCATGAATTGTTGAGATCACCTGGAGGCTTGGCTTAGACAACCTAAGTCTCTTGGCATTTCATGAAATCTAGAATTATTAGATAGTGTGAGATTTCACCGTTGTTAAATATGACTCTTGTGTTTTAGGAAGTTCTCAAAATAACTTCCCCATTTCCCTTTTATTTTAGGATTGATAGATCCTTAATTCATGGCCCATAGAATTTAATGTGTTACATTTGTAACACATTAAAATATTAAATTATAGAGTTAAGAGTACTGATGTTTATAGACAACCAGAGGTAGAGTATTAGCATTCTTACAGTGTTGGTGTTTTTAATAACTTCTGAATGAATACCAGTTGCGTATATGAAGCAGTATATGATACCAGCAGCTGTATATGAAGGGTTATAGATGCTTCAAACAGAACAGAATTCATTTAAACAGTTTTGAAAATAACTTTCTGAAAAGCTAAATTCTGGAATAACTGGAATGAATGTATTTTAAATTATTCAAGTACAGTTTAATGTTCATTTAGATTTCTCTCTTAACACACAGGCAAAAAACAGCATGTTTGATTTTAAGAATTTGCATTTAATGAATTTTAAATTTTAGGCAGAAACACTGAAACATAATGATCCTTTTGCTCCTGGTGGAACTGCTGTGACTGCATCAAGTGATCCAGGTAAGAAATTATAATGACAATCTTAACCTGTTTGAGGTGTGAGGCATATTTGGATTTTTGAGAGTACATCAAAGCTGCTTACTCAAAATGTCTCCCACAGTGGGTATGGATTACTAAGGACCCTTTACTGGAAAGCCTAGTGAAGACAGTTCCTATAATACCTCCTCAACCATTATAATTAGGCCCAACTTACTTTACTTTTTTTTCTTTCCAAGATAAGTTTGCTCATTTACAGAATGCTGGATTATGGCTACCATTGACTATTAAGCATGCTACTGAAATTATGCAGTTCAATAATTTTCCTTTTAAGTTCCTGTTAGATTAAAAGAAAGTAATGTTAGAGAGGAATCCAATAGATACCAAGTAATGTGTCCATAGGAATTTGTTATCCATAAGCTATATCAGTGGTCTGCAAACTTTGGCAACATTAAGACCTAGTGCTGAGGAATTCTGGGAGTTGAAGTCCACATGTTTTAAAGTTGCCATGTTTTTGAAGCACCCTTGAATATATTTTAGATCTCCTAGTATATATAGACTAAGCTTTGTTACTCCCCCAATTTAATTATGTTACATGTACCTGCACCTTTTTAGGTTTCTAAAAAGCATCAAGATCAGTCAAATTTACAATTTTAATAGCTTAACTACTTTATTTTTCAATTAAAACTAAACAATTTTTGCATTGTGTGACTATCTGCCAGAATACATTTTTGTGTTCTCTTAACTTAGATTAACTTGCTAAATGTGATTAGTTTGAACCTAAGAATTATAATTAATTTCAAATCCTTAGTGTTAAATGTGATTAGCATATAATCAAATGTGATTATGTAATGGATTTTGGGTACCAATTTTCAGAAATATTTTATTCTATGATGTTTAATTATTATATTTTGAAGGCATCAAATTTGACATATTTGTCACACCTAGCAGCAAAGTCAGACAAGGATTTAAACATTTTAAGACTTGAGGAGTTATTTAACATGCCAGAAGTGAAAACAGATTCTGACACTGCTTCCAGCATCTGATAGTTTCACATTTATACTCAAAACTTTTCTGGATACTCCCTTGTTCCTATTCTTTCCCAATCAGAAATAACATTTCAGTGTTATCAGAAAATCTGTTTATATATAGCTCTAAATTGAGAGCTGAAGTTTTGATAGCTGAATTTTTACATGCTGGTATTTTCAGGGTAAATAAACATTTGGACAAGTTCTAAATTGATCTTCCAGCTCAGATGCTGCCTGGTCTGAACTAACTTCTTCCTTATCAACTTTTCTCAGATCATAAAGTAATATCACCTGAGCCACCTCATCATTTCTAAAAAAAAAAAAGACCAAATGATTCATAATATTACATAAGGTTTTACTAATGCAGATCCCATATTTAAACTCAAGTGTTTGGAAAATTGAGTCAAGATGTGCAAGATGTTCTGAAGAGAATTTATTCCTTAAGAATTAGACTAAGTGCAGTACAGAGTTTAGATTTATTGTTTTTGTTGAAGTTTCAACCACAAAGGACAATCTAGAGGGCTGGACTTCAATAATACAAATATGTTGTTGATGAACACCATCAGTAGAAGTATGGCAGTACTGGGGGAAGAGTTAAAAAAGGGATCAGCCTCGAATCCCTACTTAGCCACAAACAGGCTGTCCAATCCCTTGAACCTTTATCTAACTCCAAACAGGTAATAACCTTAGTTGAGAATAAGATTCCTATAGATAGGCTGTTAAATCAGTTTTATTGGATCTTCATGTGTAGACCTGGTCTTTAGCACCTGACACTATGTCTTATTATGTAAACATCCAAAACTGTCCTTTCATACTACCTGGAGCTTGTATTAAGATGCTACTGCTTTCGTATTGGAAGCCCTGAGGCGCTTAGAGGTTGAAAGAATTAGCTGGTGACATCATCGTTGTCCTGGAGACACTCAGGTGGGGGCTCCTTTCATGTCTCTGTTAATGTGCCCACCAAAATGGTACCTATTTATCTAGTTGTGTTTGCACACATTTGAACTGCTAGGTGGGCAGAAGCTGAAGCGAGTGATGGGAGCTCATGTTGGGTTTTGAATGTGGGCTTGCTGATTATAAACCCAGTGTTCTAACCAAGTGAGCCATCATGCTCCTCTCCCTGTTCAGATCAACGAGGTTACAATTTGATGGGTATACCTTGAGAAGGTAGGCTCCGTGTGGTTCCTATGCGTTCTGAATTTCTGAGTTTAGCACCAGCTTTTAAATAGGTAATTATTTAGATGTAATGTATTTTAACACACCCTAAATCAACATAAATCTGACTTTTGTTTAGACAGGCTGTTATTTTTTTAAAAAAACTAGTAATATTTGATACTTAAGTTACTCTTGAAGGTATTGAAGGCAAATCTATCAACTATCTGTCCTTCCTTTATTTAAGACCATTAGAATGATTACTAATTGTAATCAGCAAAAGTGTTGGCTTTGACATTGTATCAACACAATTAGTTCAAACACCACCAGCAACAAAATGGTGCTAGTCTTTTCCACGCACTCTTTGCAACTTTTTCAGATACTCTTTGAAATTTCTTCTTAACACTTATTTGGATCATTTATGAGACTATACTGGGAAGAGTTAATGTTACTATTTTTATGAAAAATGTGGTAGTCATGGCAAAATTGTGCCAAAAGAAAGTGTAACTTAGCTATCAGTTTCTAGAAGTGAGTTGCATGGTCCACAATCTTTTTTGTGTAGTATGCCTTTCAAATGGCATCAAATATCCTGTTTCGTTGTAACTATACACATACAAGTGAAATATAAAACTAAAATATTTTAAGACTCATCCAATTTTGAGTTTGAATTCTTTTGTACATTTTGAGGGGCACAATAAACAAAATTATCTCCATCACCTCTTGGAATAATTTCTAAATAGTTTGACGACATTCCTGAGACATTTTTTAGTTTAATTCCATATAATTAACTGAATGAGAGCTGAGTGATAGTGAACTTTTAAATATGCCCTCTTCATATATGGTGAAAATGTCAATAATTCAATAAATAATTTGTTTCCTGTTTTTCATCTTGCATGGTTTTTGGTTTTTTGTGCCTCCAAATCGGTGTCAAGTCCTGCCTGGACAAGTCACTACTATCTTGGCAAAATTTCAGAAGTGGTTTGTTATTGCCTCTTTCCTAGGTCTGAGAGAAAAATGACCAGCCAAAGGCCACCTAACTGGCTCTGTGCCTAAGGCATATTTAGAACTCATGGTCTCCCAGTTTCTAGCCTGGTACCCTTGCCACTGCACCAAATTGGCTCTTATTAGATCCTTGCATGTGTAGTCCATTGATTTACCTTTTTTTATGTTTTCCTTTGCTTACTTCAGCTACAGATCCCTTTACATCTTTGTTTGGAAATGAATCATTTGGCTGTGATTTTGCTGATTTCAGCACTTTGTCAAAGGTAATTTGAACTGATTAATGCTTGTGGACAAAGCATAAAATTGCTCAGGAACAAAACAGAACTTCAGCAAACATTATTGTAAATTCAACTTAAATGGTAACTTGATTCTCATTTTGAACTATGTTTCATTAACTATGGGATTATTTGTTTTCTTAATAAAAACAAGTCAAGCTGTGTGCGCATGTGCATGTGCTGGCCTGCCGATCAGGCAAGTCAAGCTATGTGTGCACCAACCAGCCTCTCGCATGGTTCACCCGAACCGGCTGAATCCCACCCCTGGTCATAAGTCACTTTTTTCAGTGCAGTTGTAAATTTGAATGATCACTAAGTAAACTGTTGTAAGTCGAGCACTACCTGTATTGTAAACATGAAAAAGATGATTAAAGCATTGCTTTATGGTGGAAAACTATGGCTGGTGGGAATCAATGACATTCATAGGAGCTTAGTAAGCAGCAGTTGGGAGCAACAGTAGTATAAGGCTTATAATGATCAGTAAATAAAACAAAATGCCCCAACTTGTGCATAATGGAGTTTATTTACTGTCTTTTTTTTAAGACAAACAATGAGGATCCTTTTGATTCATCTGCAACAAGTACTGCTAACAATATAGTTATAACAAAAAATTTGTTTGAGGAAGCTCCAGTCAAAAATGAAGATATTCCTCCTGCTTTGCCTCCTAAAACTGGAACACCTACCAGGCCGTGTCCTCCCCCACCTGGTAAGAGACAGCATTAAAATATAAATGCTAAGGTTTATATGGAGCTTTTTTCAGATGTAATGAAACTAAAAGGAGCATCCTATATTTTTCCCCACATTCTGTAATACAAGAATGCCCAATTGAGTTACAAACTAATTTTCATTTTTTTAAAGGTTTGGGTTGTATTTTTTTAAATGTCCAAAGCAATAAATTATAAAGAAACTATTTTGTATTGTTGTAATAAAACTCTAAATGTAATTTGATAAGGATGGCTGATTTGAACCATTTTTAATATGAACATTGTGATTTGAATTAGATGGCTAGCTCCCATTTTACATGTCCAAAAGCCTCCATATAATGAAAATAGTAGCAAACATTATCTACTCTCCAACTCAAAACCCTCATCCTGTAACTTTAGAATATTTTAGAAAATCACGAGTTTAGGATATGTAGCATTACTTATACTATATACTGAATAAATTATTCTCATGTTCATAATTATACTAACTGGTTATTTTGGTATAGGAAAAAGACCTATCCACAAATTGGAGTCTTCAGAATCATTTAAATTGAACGATCCTTTCCAGACCTTCCCAAGTTCTGATGGTTGCAAAGTACAGGAAGCTGATCCATTTGCTCCTAGTGGAGTAGGCAAAGAGATGGATTCCAGCAATTTTGCTAATTTCAATGCTGTAAGTATGGAGATATTCAGCTAAATGGTGATTGTTTTGTAAGAACAGTGAATGTTCCTATAAACCTTGAAGATGGGAATGAGTTCTTCTGTATTAGTAATGTCTTATTTAAAGAATACACCATCATGATCTATTTGGAGACAAATAGCTGTTAGCCTTCCAGTAACACATTGACCACCACGCAACAATAACATAGTAATTCTGAAAGTTCTCTGAGGTTTTATTTTAGCCATATTTTCATGCAGTATTATTATATAATGTTCATATATCAGCCTGTAGCAGGACTTATAAATTGACATTGCAACAAGACAGTCTTAGCTCCAAACACTTTCCTTAGCAAGCAGTCATTCAGCAAGCCTCTTCTTTCCTGCCCATGCATTTGAATAAGCAGCTGGTTGCAATGTCTGCATAATCCTTAGTTATTATGTTGCATGACAGTCCTTTGATATATTTTCTTGAAAGAGGTGGAGAAAAAGTAAATAACATTCTCAATCTATTGACCACATGATATAGAACTCTTCACAAAATGTAGTTTTCTACTTTTTGTGATTAATTACAGGACTAGTATACTGTATGATAGATATATTTAAAAATAATTCATCTGTATACTCAGCAAATGATAATACCTGGGGCTTTTTTACCTTTTTGGTTAGAAGCGAAGTGGGGTCTGATCTAACTAATACTATGATGGAAGATCATCAGAAAAGTTTTTAAAAAACCATTCTGGGGAGAAGCAGTTATGTATTCCTTCCATATTACAGTGTTCACAAATTTTTACTTGCTGTTCTACTAACAAGTCTATGTTTTTTCTGGTTTAGTATCCTACTGAAGAAGATATGATTGAATGGGCAAAAAGAGAAAGTGAGAGAGAGGAGAAAGAGCGACTAGCAAGGTTGAAGCAGCAAGAGCAAGAAGATTTAGAACTAGCAATTGCACTCAGTAAATCTGAAATATCAGAAGCATGAAGGGTTTCCTCAAATATTTCTCCTTTTCCCTGGATATCTAAGCTATACGTAAAGTAAATCAGAAGTTACATATGAATGGGAAAGTCAAAAAGGCTTTAAATCCTGCAAATGTGATTTTTTGAGCAATTATCTTATTTGTAACTTTTTCATATCCATTATTTTCATTTGGCAATTGTTTAATATAGCAATTTTCCATTTGTACTTACCTTGGAATTCTTCTGGACTGTACACTATTACACCAAAGTAGCTTATTTTAACATGCGAAAAAAGAAAACCCTGACAACTCTACATTTTAAAATTTGAACGCAGATGCACAACAGTATATTGTGGACGATTTCAAAAGACAAATGTTTCATGTAAAGTACTTTTTTTCTATGTATAATATAGAAATTTCTTTGCAGCGTGGAAATCTTTAAAAATGCAGGTGTGTGTAAATGTGTAATGAACACATTTGTCCTTTAAAGATGGCTAGGTCATATATAAGAGATTTATGTTCTAAAATATTCATAGATGGCATGTTTTATGTCTTTTCAGAAGGGTCCTATTTGCAATTCCTATAATACTGAATTATTTTAGTTCTTCCAGGTGGCCTGCATTTGGCCTGTAAGTAAAACTGGTGATATAGTTAATCAAAACATAGTTATTTAAAAAGAAAAATCTAGCTTGCAAATATTCAGGTAATTAAAAATTCTGATAATCCTGCTTTGTATTGAAATATTCATGTCTGGCATTACAGTATTAAAATTTATATTTTGTGTTTTACAAAGACAGCATTTCATCTTAAACATATGAAATGCTTTATGCTTCTTGTTTTCTTTTTACTGGAAGCTCCAATACTGGACTGGATATCAAATAGAATTAACTGCCTTTTTGCCTGCCCATTAAAAGTCTAAAGAAACGTTTTCCAGGGAGATCATAAAATTAGACTGGCCAAATTCAGTGTCAGGAATTCTGATGCTAATAGAACCAGTTTCTTTTGTGAAATATGTAAAAAAAATTTGGTGATTTGACAGCTGAATTTGAAATAAGGTAGGAAGTAGACTGCACAAAAGATAACTTACAACAGTCAGTTACTGTTGTGTGTAATTTATTGAATGCCAACTGATGGTTGCACCTTAAATTAAATACCCTTATGTGGTCACGGAGTCAAAATAAGATTGAATGTTAAAGAAAATAAGTTATTTCCTATTCTGTATAATGTGTTACATAGTGCAGAGTGTTGAATTCATTCCAGATATCTTCCTTTTTACTCTGAAATGCTTAGTTAGGCTGCAGGCTTACAAAATAGGTGGTCCTGTGTCATCCCACCCCACCCCAATGCATGATAAGGTATTTATGTCTCAATTGGTTTTTTTTTTCTGCTGCTGCAAAGGATTCCATAATTGCCACTGTCAGGATAAGATATTTCCATTTACCTGTGGATGCTGCTGTCAAGAATCTTTTGAAGAAAGTAGTGTTTCCTCATTTTTTAAATATTAGTTTGGATAAACTTTCTCTTTTGCACTGAGAAATGAGAATTTAAACACCTAATAAACAAAATAAAACCTCTTGCCAAGTATTAATAACCTTAATTTTCTCATGGACTTTCATGGCATTAATCATACAAATTGTGTGGTTAACTGCATTTCTTACTTTTAAATGTATACTTGGTGGACCAATACATTATCTGTGTCACCCATAGTCATGTATACATGTATGTGTATATATGTACACAACCATTAATTCATTCAGGCATAGGATGAAAAGTTCTGAAACACCTGATGTGACATCTTATGTTACTGATAATTACAGAACTTTTACTCAAAAGTATCTCAATAAACCACTGCTATGTCAGCTTTGATGGCATTACTACTAAAGTTCTGAAAGGCTTGTAAGAACTTTTCAAGCGGGGTTAACCTCTATTTATAGACTTTGTTTAAAAATTCTAAATACAGCCTGTAATTATGAATTAAACTGTTTAAGTATATATGATGAGCCTAGAGAGTTTTTTTTAATGTTTTATGTAAGGCATAAAGCATCACATCTTTGGTTCCCTGTTCAAAAATTACATCACCTGATACAAATATATAGAGAATGTAAAAAATGGTTCAACCAATACTTCTGAATATCAGAAATATGTTCCAATTTCCAGATTAAACTGCCTTCTCCTACCAGTATTAGCATGACATTAGTCTTGTAGACCAACCAATTCCAATATGGTACATAAGAATACCATCTTTAAAACTCATTCTGAAATAGAAAGCAACAAAAGGATGAATACGGGATCTTTTCAATATCTTTATATTTCAATATTACAAAGCATGGTAACTTTATAATTCATCCTCTTTTGAAAAGTCACCTTTTAGATTGTTACATGATTATTATACAGTTCCAATATAGTCTGCCATAAAACTTCTGCATCAGTAAAATGGTGGCTGGATTTATATCTTGCACTAAGCTGAGCCCAAATAAATAAAATTATTGGTTAGCACAAATGTGCTAATCCAGCCACTGAAATCAAATTATTGCCAAGTAGGATTTCAACTTATCAAATTTTCTTATTTTAAGATCTAGTTAAGAACTACCTTTGTCAATATCGGTCTAATCCAAGCCTTACCCAACCTGCAACTTTCCTGATGGATCAATTCTGCAATTCCCAAAATGTTGCCATGATCTAGGAGTTGCGCTCAACAGATCTGAAATTACCACTTTGGAAAAAGCAGAGCTTTGCATGTATTTTGATCTATTTCAAGAGGCCTCATGTCTGAGGATTTGCACATATGAACATATGGATACAAATGATGGAGTACCCTTACTGAGCAGACCAGTACATGAGTGTTGGCTGGTTTCTGTTACATTTGTAATAGTTTTAAATGACCCACTTTACTAAGAAAACATCTTAATCTACAGCTCTCATTTCCCACTTACCTCTTCTTTTATACTGCTCCCAGCTTCCAACAGTATGCCTAAGAGGACGGTCCATTCTGAGAATAATTTAGATGCATTTCTGACTACAAATCTTAACAGAAAAATAATGTGCTTGTGTGGAGTCTGGAGAACATGTTAGATAACCTTCATAGTGTGCACAGTTTTAATACATAATTATTCAGTCATTAAGTGAAATGTCCTTAAAACTTATGTGTATCATAAGAGATCTGATAGACTTATGCTACTATAAAGATTAAAATGACTTATCTACCCATCTGAAACTTTTTTGTAACTTTGGATGCTTTACATTGGTTATTAATTCTGGTTGATACCTAATATTACATTGGTAAATTGTGCTTTTTTCTAAATCAACTTTAAATATTGAGGTATTCTGTGTATAGTGATATATGTACACGTGATCATGTACATATATAGAATTTATAAATGATCAATACATGTAGATTGATTATGTGCAATCAAGGTGGTTTGATCTTATCTGACTTCTGGATAGAAACATGGCAGACTAGTATGTATCTGTGAAATACCTGGGATAATGCAGAGGCAAATGGTCAGACAATATGCCCGAGCTAACAGAGCTTTTCCAGACAAAAGAGAAGCCATTAAATCATCTACATGAGCTCCCGAGGTGGGGGTGAGCTCCACATGAGAAAGCCCACAGGAAAAGACACTCAGGTATCAGCCTTCCCAAGTAAATCAGACAGAAAATGACTAGAGTTAGTATAAGGCTACAGTAATAGAGCCTTGCAAGTCTTAAAGTTCAAAAATACTGCCATCTCTTCTTACTGACTGATAAATTAGCGTGGATTCTCTCAGGTTTTCAACGGTCAAGCCCCTAGGAGCTCCTCCCTTTGTTTGTTTATTTCCTAGGCACCATCTTTTTCGTATATCCCCCATGATCACCCACACCTCCATATGTAAACTACTATCTAATAACATGACTTTAGATTTGCAGACTAACCTATTCCAATATGGTACATCATGCTTGCAGCTTTGGGCAAATTCTGTTTAAAGGATGCCGCCTGATCCACTTTCTAAAGCACATTTAAATGGAGCACATTTGGCATGTAAAGAGGCCTTGAGAACACTTAAATCCATGCATGAGTGTATCGTCAATCCACAAAATATTACAATTTTAAAAAATGAAACTGCCAGTTACAATTTTTAAAAAAATTAAGTGCAAAAGTGTTACCGGGAGTTTAAAATAAAAGTTTAAAAAAACAGCCTAAACGGACAATTAAATTTGGAATATTGCCTCTTTAAAATACTTTTTTAAATTAAACAGATACTATACAGTATATCTCTGTGGGAAAGAAAGAACATCTTAAGTTGATTGACAGACTGTTAAAGAGATAACTAGAAGAGAGAAACATGAAGTTCTGAGAAGATCATATGATTATAGAAGTATAGAGTGCTAAATGGGACCAATGTTAAGAAAGGCTCTCTTGTGTTTTACTCCCCTTTTATGGATTATAAATTTGAAATATATAAAAATATTTATTAATAAAGGGCATGAAAGTTATTGTTAGCCTTAATAGGCAGACCAGGCAGGAAACACAATCAGATAAGCTAATTCTATTTTATTGAAAAGATAAAAGGTAAGGAGTCGCTATGGTCTCTCCGCTAGTTGTTGCCAACTATAGGGGGCAGTGCTCATCTCCATTTCAAGGCCATTGAGCCATGCTGTCCAAAGACATGTCCATGGCTGTAGCCAGCATGACGATACAGAGCGCTGTTATCTTTCCACCAAAGTGGTACGATTTACTTGTATTTATTTATATGCTTTCAAACTGCTAGGTTGACAGGACCCAGGGCGAGGACGGGTACTAACCCTATCGCGTGGCACTTGGGTCTCAAACCTGGCTGCCAGGTTTCCAGCTGACAAGCCCAGTATCTGAACTGCTTAGTCACTGTGCCGCCCAATAGAAAAGATATATGAACAGAATTTCGAAAGTCTGAAAGTACAATTTTCCCATCCGCACCATTAAATCCTTACCACTTGTGGCGGTCTCTTCTGAGCCTCTTCTTCTGCCCACCATGCAGTTGTAGGCTCTGCTCACTCTTCTCTGTCCATTTCCTAGGCAGCATCTCTTCATCCCATCTTCAAAGGTCATTGCCACATATCATTACAGTTATAAAAGAGAGTAAATGTTAGACCACTTCAAAATAATATATCTATGATAGATAAATTCATAGGATACTGTTTTATTGTCCATCAAGGTTATTAGATGTGTATAACATGCATATATATTGAAGTTACCACAATGGAAGATAAATTGACAAGTATTTTTTTGAATACTAAACCTGAACTTTTTGCTAAAAATGGAAGAGCTAAAATGATTTCTAGACTGGACAATTAAAATTGTCTTTGAATAGAATAGAATTCTTTATTGGCCAAGCGTGGTTGGACACACAAGGAATTTGTCTTGGTGCAAATACTCTCAGTATACATAAAAGAAAAATACATTCATCTAGAGTCAAGAATCATAAGGTACAACACTTAATGAGAGTCGTGGGGTACAATAAACAATCAAATGGCTTATTGATGGCTAAGTATGTAAATATGCATGTGAAAGATAAATTATGATAAAAAAATAGTATGAGCAGAACAACTATGGCTTAATTCATACATCAGGTATTTGCTATTCAGCATAAAGAGAGGGTTGCATGTTTTCTTTTCCCTGAACTACTTTTAAATTCTTCCTGTGAATTTAATTTTTATACTATCTGCCCATCCAGCCCTGTTT